CTGAGGAGAAAATACACAGATGTACATTCATGCAGAAACTGCAGGCCTGCTACTACTTTTACTTCACTAATTGGTACAGAACCCAGGAAGAGTTTCAAGCTTATCCAATCTAAAATGTTTGAAGAACTCTTTTTTTATACTCCATATTCAGCTACACCATCAAGTGAGCAGCCACACCTTTAGATCTGCACACTTTGAATGCACATGTGCATCCACCTCAGTGGCCTGGGGATCCTTCTCTTGGAGACATTTCATCATGTGCATCCCTTCTTTGCAAGGCAACTCCTATGAAAAAAACAATGTATTGCCAATTTTCTTTCCAGCTTTATTGGCAACCTACTAAAAACCAAATGAATAATTTTCCTCTTTTACAAACACAAATTTTGCCTGAAAGAGGAACACAGCATTCAGAAAACAAACAAACAAACAAACTGCTAATTAGGGCTGTAATTTTTTGTGACAGCTCCTAACTTTATCAAGGTTTACATTTATCTGGGGGTACTTCTGTCTGTGTGCAGTAAAAGTGAAAAACTTTGAAAACATTATGTAACATTAATTAAAGCCCAGAATACTCCTCTTAAGTAGAAAATGTTGCTCATTACCATTTTATGATATGTTTTTAGCTGGAATCACAACAACATAGTCTACTCTAAACTTAGTATAGACTAATAAAAACAGGTAAAGTTAATACAATTTGAATACAGCATAAAAGAAAGCACTGAACTTTTATGATGATTTGAGCTCCCTCCCTCTGAAAGAGAACAAAAATTTCCAATGCCACTGAAGTCCTCAGGAACTCTTTGAAGCCTTACTTCCCCCCCTTTCCACAAGTGACATTTGCTGGATAACTCAACTCCAGCCATGTAACTGTGTCACAGCTGCTTTCTACAGAACCACTTCTTACCTAAGCATCAATTCAGGGCTAGGTCATTAAAAAGAACCCATTCTTTTATATATAACCCATTTTTATATATAAAAACAGCTGAAGAGATGATAAGCAAAAACCAGTCTTACCAGCTGAGGGAAGTGTGATGGGAGTGTGGAAGCAATGAAGGAGCACAGGTGGACACAGACATAGTGATAGAGGGTGATGGGAACTGCTGGCTGCCCAGTACTGATCACCTCTGGCAAACAGACAGGGAGAGAAAGCTCACCAGGACATTGCTGGAAACTGAAGAAGAGAGCTGAAAACAAAGACAGGCTGCAAGGGGAAAAGAAAAAAAAAACAAAAGAGAAATAGTTGGGTTACAGATACGTAAATCCAAAATCCCGAAGAAACATCTGCACTATAAAATCTTAGCACTACAAAAATCTTTGACAAGGAACAATGGCAATAACTTCAGTGGTTTTACACTAAATTTTTGTTTCTGACTACCTTCCTCTTTTACAAGTCCAGGTGGTTGCTTGAGGGTTCAGGCATAAAAGTTTGAGATTTTAACTCAGTGAAGCATCAACAAATTAAAAACTTCTCTCTGTTCTTATCCTGGAAGTACTCTAAATACCATTCCTTCCCTGAAAAAACAACGACATCTCTGGTTCTGTATGCTTCCCTCCTGAGGCACTGCACATCAGATCCTGTTTGTCTTGGCAGAAGGAAGTAAATCCATGGAGTCTGACAAATTTTACTACTCAGTTGCATGGGGAACTCCAGCAGCTGAGCCCCTCTGTTTGCCTGTATGGAACGATTGCTGTGGGGAAGAACTACAGCAAAAACCTCATTAGTACCTTTTTCCTGTGTTCCAGAGAGTTTGCACTTCCTCAGGCTGAGAGGACAGCTTGTCCATGATGGTAACCAGGAGGAGACACTGGGGCAGCTGCTGCTCAGGAGGGAGACCTGCAGAAGTTTGTTTTCAAACGTGATGCAAGTTGCCCTGGTAAATACATCACGTGTCTAAAGTGGCTTATAAAGCAAGTGTAGAGGCAAACTGATGAACTATCTCAGCCATCCCAGAATTATGACTTGTTGGTCTGAGCACAAACCAGGGAGAAGGGAGTGCAGAAACAAAAAGGTGGTAATTTTCCAGTTTGAAGGCATTCTGCTTTCCACAGCAAATACTTAATTTAGGAGAAAATGGCTGTCTTCCCCCACGAACAGTACAGCAGAAAAATTTCAGCTTCCTTTGAAAGTTCGTGGCAAAAAGTGGATTGAAATTATGCAAAAAAGGAGAACTGACAGGATGTCTGTTAACCAGGTTAATACTGAAGTTATTGTGAGTCTTTTGGAAAAGATGAATTCAGCAACCACATGAACTATGTGTTACAAAATTCATCCAATTCAGCATGGAACTGCTCATATCACAGTACTTACACAAGAACTACAGACAAGCAAACAGGTACAGAATATTTCTTGTGGTTCAGAAAGTCAAAATATCAGTCCCAATCCCCTGCAGATGTTTACATAGTACCACAGCACTGGTAGCTGTATTTTCAACCTACCTAACTTTTCACTTAACACTTGCTCCATGAAAGGACTAAAGGGAAGAAGCTGGTTGATAAGAGGATCCAGAGCCACGAGAAAAACCCGGGATATTTCCTCTCGATGAACTTCCAAGATCTCTGGAGCATAGAGACTGGGAGGAAATTTGCTGAGAGGGAATGGAAAAAAACAGAAGTTAAATATTCTCAGTAGCATTTTCAGTAATATTACTTTTTTCCAAAAGAACTACGAAGAAGTAAGTTTATTATTTCCTTGTTCTTGTCAAATAAAAGGCTCCCCATTTTAGAATACCTGTTATAGTCCAAGAGCTACAACTCTGCATTCAGCTTTTAAACTTAGCATCACAATCCAATATTTTACTAAACCTTGAAAGAAAACCTTACAAGCTCACAGAAAATGCATGTAAAATACATAACATCTATCAGAAGAAACATGTCAAATAAAAAAGAAAAGCCAACAAAACACCCGTATACACAATTTGACAGTCATAAATGTAACAGCACTGACTTAACACATGACACTAAAAGGGTACCACAATTTCTTTGAAGAGAGAAAACCTTGGGCAATAAAAAAGAAAAAATAACAAAGAGGAGAATAATTCAAAAGAGATCATGAAATGAAAACCTTCCACTCTTGCAGCTTATAAAGTGATGGTAAAAATGCTGCCTTGCTACTCAAAAATCCTGTCCAGTTTCCCTGAGTGAATAAAAGTTTACAACCTCGCACTTGAGAAAGATCTACAAGGTAAGTAAAGCTAAAAGAGGAAACTCATCAAAAAATATCCCCCCAATCTTGCAGTGAAACACGCAGCGAACTCGGGTGCACATCACACCAGAGAACGTGGCTTGAATTCCAAAAGAAGGGCTGAAATCAGCACTCAGATTTCAGAGGGTAAACTATGATTAGTAGAAAGCCCATATTCCCTTATTCTTCCCCACCACTGCAGCAAACAGAAAGCAGAGTGATAAACCACAGTGATAAACCACTTGCAGACCTTTGTTCTATGAACAAAACATTAAAAGAGCGTTTGCTTCTAGGGGAACCAGAGTCCTCTTGTGAGATTTCACAGGACTATAAACACACTGTAAAGCTAAGAAAAATGTCAGGATACTTTGTTTCTGATCCCCTCTTTCTCCGGGATGAATGTTTCCATACTTTGTCTTAAAGTAGAAATGATCTGTCACATGTCACTACTGACACCTGCATTTAGTGTTGGATTTTTTCTTTCTTATATATTCTTATATTCTACACATAATTTGTTAAGAAATGTTGACATAAGTAATTTCAACAAAGTTAATGGTTTGTCAATATGGGACATGCACAGCACTGATCAAGAATGGGATTAAGGTGACTATATCACACAAAAATGCTTAATTCATTAAAAAATATTTTTGTTTTCTATCCATGAAAAAAAGATGACAACAGCTTTGGAACAAGAACTGTATTTCTATATCTCAGAATACTTTAACTTTAAGAAGGCAGTAAAGAGATGTTATTAAGATACTATCAATGATCAATTATTTGTACTTCACCTACCTGTATATCTGAAGAAAGAGCTGATGTAACTGAGAACAGCAGTCAGAGAAGTAAGCAAGGAATTCCTGCAAAAGCCATTAATTTTGAATGGTACTTTCAATATAAAAGACATCATTAATTACACTTTTTGTTCAATTCAATGGTTCAAACAACCAACAATTCTGGAAACTCGGCCACTCTGGCCATCAAGATGGACATCTCCTACCAACTCCAGGGTGATATTGCATGAAGCAGTTTATTATACTTGTTTTTCTGGGAAATCCCTGCTTAGGCTTGGGAGAATATAAAGGTGGAAGAACTACAAGCAGGTTACTGGACGTTAATTACAGATGTTAATTATACCGCCCATATGGGATAGTCATAAATTGTTAAGATATTGTGCAGTACAAAGTTATTCCATCTGCAGAGCAGGGGCTTGAACTTAATCCTAACACAGGCTTGGAGTACAGAACCTACCTTGGTGTAGTGTACAAGGGAATTAGCAAAGAACCTGCACAGTTTGACTGTCTTCTGGAATAGCCTTAAGTCAGTGCCCTCCTGTGCAGAAGAAGCAGTTCTAAAAGTTAATATACAGAGTAATACAATAAGAAAGGAAGTTAGATTGCTAACAATGTTCAAAACCTATTTCACATTTGATTCTCTACAGACTCTGCAGCTAAGGGGGAAAAATTTTAAAAATATTTATTATGCCTCAACATTTTTAGAGTAATATTCAGAATTGGAAGGTTATCTTTTGATTGACCTTGGGATATTGTCAGTTCAGGAAATAATTTCTCACAGAGTATGGTGAAAACTTAAGTGTCTCACAAAACATCCTCAATCTAAATAAAGTGATGGGCCTTACTTTCATGTGGTTTCAAAAGAATAAGGTATTCTGCCCACCACATGAAATAAAGAAAACCCAAAAAACCAAACCCAATCTACTCCAAGCAATAATACAGCACAAAGAGTTTATCCTCCTCAAGTTCACTGTCAGCTTTGGGAGCTTTTTAACTCACCTGTATCTCTGACACCTTCATTTGCTCAGCCAGCTGCAAACAGGAGTCAAAAGACAGAAGAGTGTCCTTGCACAGGCCCCCCAGGATGTCGCTGTGTTTCAGATGGCACTGCAGCAGGGAGTGATGCTTCAGGCTTTGCCTGCAAGGTAGGAATATAATCAGGTATTTAACGGTCAGAAGTGACCATGCAATGAATTCTTACAAATCCAAATGATTTGTTTAGGCTTTAGTACAACACTGATTGGTGCAATATCTCTGTAGGCTGAAAACAGAAACTCAGAGAGAACAACCCTCTCCACAGCCATGACTGAAACAGAGGAGAGGCAGGATGAAAGCACAAGACGGTCAGTCAAGCCAAAAATGTCTACAAAATTGCAGGTAAGACCTCTTAATATTATTTATTTAGACAACAGTGCTGCAAATTTTCTTCTGCCTTGCAATACAAAAAGTATTGCAAGTTCCTATTACTTTTCACACCCATTCCTACCTACTTCCCCTGGCAGTGCTTGAGTACTACTCCTAGCTAAATTTCTAAATTGAATTGCTAAATTTACTGACCAAACAGCTAAAGTGAATTCTCTAATTTCGATTTTATTTGAAACTCTGAACACAAAGCAATTGAAACCTCCATTATTTAAAATTACAGTTCAGTGACATACTTGATTATGAACTTCCACGTGTTGGCGTGAAGAGCATGGTCCATATTGGAAATGACAGAGCATATCTCCAGCACAGTGTGGATCACTAAGGAAATAATAACAACAAGAGTTAAATCACATTTATGAGTTCACAGCAATCCCAAGCACTAAGAGAATACCAGCACACTGACACTGAATTGGGAAAATGGCTCAATGTCTAAGAGCTGCCCCTATCCTACAAACCTACACAGCATGCCCCATCCCACAGAGGAAGTTTCAGGAGAACAGAAATATTTCAAGCTTCAAAATTCTGCTTTTTGAAAGGCTGGTCAGGACAGCAGGAACTGAGCACGCTCAGTAACCTGTTTTAAGAATTCAAACATACTCTATAGAAAAACATGACTAAGCAAGACTGAAAAAGTGTTAAATCTGCACATACTTGACACTATATCTGTGATGTTATCTTCAGTGGATGCAGAGCCCATGGAAATCATATCAACTAGTTCCATCAGCTGCTTCTGAAGGGAGTAAGTCTCCTTGAACATAGCTTGTAGGAGGTCAGAAATCAAGTGCAGGTGCCCACAGTACACTGATTCACTATCCTGCAGAAAATGGGAAACGAGGTTTAAAAAGAAGTTCAGGAATCACAGCCTGATTTTTCACATGCTAAAAACACCAAGAGCTTTGTCATACATTCCCCTGGGAAAAAAAGAACAAGGCACAGATGTACCTACTTTAATTCAATATACAACCAGGGCTGCAGTTTCTGCTCCCACCCCCTGATCACTAAATGTAAAATGTCAGTCACCTGCAGCCTCATTGACAACTAATGAGGTCTGCCTGGCTCTAGTGAATTTAGGGGGTTCCAGATTAGGCCTCCACAGGTGAACTTAAGATCATATGATAAACGTCCACGGGTAAACCTAAGATCACATCTGACAATACAATACAATGTTAGCAACAAAGGAAGCAGCATTCCAAGTATTTCCCAATACTTTCAAATCAAAATTGTTAGATAAAGGTGTGGCACTTGAGTTTAATTCCTGACATGGAAAACTGAGGTAAAAAAAGAAAGACAGAATGAAAGGCAACCAAAAGCTCCCGTGTCCTTATGATAAGCTGGTTTTATTTTTACTGCTTAGAGGGAATTACTGTTGCATCTGAAAGTCCAAATCTGAAAATGACAGATGTTACTTGTAACCAACAAAGAGATGCCAATCTCCATTTTCAATCCACTCTGGAACTTGCACAGAAATAAGGTAAGTCACACCATGCTGGGAACCACTGATAGCTCTGAAAATCCTGCAGCCATTAGGAGTGCACAGATCTCACAGAGTACTCCATTCATGAGCAAAATGTTCAGTGAACACTGATGCAAAACATGGAAAGGGCACAGTCTGAGCCTCTCACCACCAGGTCATATTTGCTGGGCACACAGCTGAAAAATCATCTCTGTACTTGCGCGATAAGCGAACCATTTAACAGCTAAATTTAAATTAAAAGAGTTCGACAACAATATCATTTCAAAATAGGATCTTCTTGCAAAGCGAGTGCTTCCTAAACCCCAAGGAGCACAGGGATGTTTCTCCTTCCAAGAGAGACCTACCCTGCAGTGTGCGAAGGAGTTCTTTATGACGTAGAGCAGGGAGGCGGGGAGGGAGCGGACGCTGCCCAGGGGCACACACTCCCGCACGGAGCACACGGAGCGCACACAGCCCGTCAGGGTCTCCAGCAGCTGCACCACAGTCTTCAGGCAAGAACAAACAACAGCAGTCAATGCAATAACCTCCAAAGCATCTTTTCCCTGCTGAACTGCACCTAGATTTATATGGCATTTAAAGTTCACTGTTTGCATAAGTAGTTTGTTAAAAACGGATGAAGCGCCATAAAATAATACTGAGCAATTCCGTATGTACTGTGAGAACTTTATATATCTTTTTGACTACTGTTCTCAGCTTCCAAACATTTTAAAACTGAGAATTAAGTGACTGTACAAACAAGTGTCAGATTCACTCTTTAAATACGGTGAATCACATGCCATTTGTGTTAGTAACTTCAGCAGAATTTGAGATGATTTTTTAAATTATGATTAGCATCAGGTGATGGATGCAATCAAATCATTCATAAAACGTTAATCGAATTTCAGCTACAAAGGAAGATTAAATTACATTTTAACCACCAGTAGGTGGCAAAAATATTCTAAAAACCCCTCAATAGCTCAGGTAAAAGCAAAGAATGATGTAAACATTCCTTTGACAGGAACAGGACTTGCCTGTAGCAGATTCCTTACAGCACTGCATAACTCTGTGCTGTGGCTGGTTAACCCCTTGGCCTCGCTGGATAACTCATACATCAAGTTATCAAAGAGCTGTAGAGTCTGTCAGAAGGAAACAAAACTTAAAACATTTCATTTATGAAGGTACACATGCAAATAGCAACACTGTTCTGTATCTGCTTGCTTCCCTGGTATGGAAGCACAGGCTACAGAGAGAACTCCCAGAAAAAATTAACACTTTCCAGCATTTCAGTCACAAAACATGATGTACCAAGAAGCACAACCTGTATGGTTTTCCCAAATTATAGACATAAGCTGTTACTTTTTCTAAAGTATGTTAGGAAATAAACCTCCCAGCTAATATATACCTCTTTCTACCAAAGACTTTTTTAACTCAGTTAAACCCCCATAATTTTAAGAGGATTTTCGTTTTGTCTCAGAAAAATTGTTTATTTGTTGATAATGATCATTAACATTTTGAATACATTAAAAAAAAAAGGTCAACAATCTACAAACAACATTAATTTGTACTTTAGTTTTGGTCCTTGGACATTTGATGAGTGTTAGTGTTTTCACTGCAAAGACAGTGAGGTGCTTTCAGGCACATACAAGATAAGCAGGATGTGCCTATTGTTACACATTTTTCTTGTAATCTCCAAAATTTGTTACTTGACATAAAACAAGAGAAATGGAAATCAAATGGCCACTTTTACTGGCTTCTTAAAATGGACAAGCTGAGGCCTAAAACTTAAATCAGTAATTTGGCACTGCTTTACTTCACTTAAAATGCAAGCACTCAAGAATTTTAATAAAACTACAGCCAAAAAATCTCCATTGTTTCATCAAAAAAGAGAACATATGTTAGGCCAGTATGGTCTGAGAGTTTATTCACTATATTAATTCACAAGTTTCACAACATTTATTAATGATACACAAGTGTTGGGTTCTTCAGTTTACTTGTCCTGAGAAGCTACCTCAAATAAAAATTCTCCACCTTGGACATTTTATAAAAAGACCAATCTTCTCAAAAAGAAATAAACCCCAAATCTCTTGCTGAATGTAGAAAGAATATTGTATATTTAAATCTCTCCCTACTGTAAAGAATGAGAACAATCACAGAAACAATCCAACACAAAACTGTGAAAACTCTTAAAGGGTAAAATTTTAATTTTGAGGTTTGTATCCTACACAATAACTATATTGTGCAATCTCAAGAAAGAATCACTGCATTATAAGCAGTGATTTTTAGCACTGGACCAACTGACAATTCCCCAGTTAATTGGAGCTGTCCTACCTTAGGCAATACTTTGGAGAAAAAGGTTTGTTCCAAATCTTCAAGGCTGATATGGGGCAAAAACATTTCAGTCAGGATCCTCAA